GTTGGGTTCGGTTGTGGTCGTTAAGTCGAGGATTAACCCGTATGAACGACCACCATCCAGCATTTCCACTGCTTAAGCAAGGCAGCTATTGAGTGGTGTCCCTTTCTCCAGTGCTGTCTGAAGTTCGAAACGGTCACTGAATGAGGACTGGAGGGACTCGGGGCCTGCTGTTATTCCGTTTCCTTTTAGTGGTGAAGGTGCTTGCGAGAGCCTCAGCTGAGTTCCCGTTTTCTGCTCTCTGGCTGTGGAGAGTCAGATGCGCCTGGAGTGGTTCCACTTTGGCAACCACACTCAGGGCGGGCGCGTCCCTCTCTCCGTCCGTGCGTGCGTGTGCGAGGAGAGATAGCAGAAAAGATGAGACACGTCCTGAGCAGAACTCCTGAGTTTTATTGAGAAGGCCCCCCAGCCCCCTCCTGGGAAACGTTGAAAAAAGGCAGAATATTATATATTCCCCTGGATCAGAAACGGAGAAAAACATGTTTTCTAGGCAGAGAACAGGCTCACTCTTAATTGCCCTTTGTCCATGGTCTACTCTACATAACAAAGACCTCCCCACTTCAGCGATGGGATTAAGGCATGATAAGGTATTATTAGCCCTTGGCCCATCTCACCCACCTGGGAAGAAGCAATGCTCAGCTTGGGCCTCAAACACAACCTCCAAAGTCAGCTAAGACACACACACACACACACACACACACACAGACACGCCCCCGGGAGTCTGACAACCAATCGGAATTCATTTCTTACACAGGAACAGGAAACAGAAAGGTGGGGCCGAACAGAGAGTATAAAAAAAACCTCAGGAACACTCAGCAAGCCCCCTTTTCTCTTCCCTGGTGCCCTGTGGTGAGATGGGTAAAAATGGCTGCTACTATCATGCCTTACTCCCATCGCCCTGGAGCTGAAAGGGGGAGGTCTTTGTTACGTAGAGCAGACTGGCTCAGGCCTTTTGATGGCCCATTGGCAAAGGTGGGGGCTGTTGAGTCTGTTCCCTACCTTACCAGCCCCAATCAACATTGCCCTACTCAGAATTCCAGCCCCAATATTGAGAGTTGGAAGGGACCTGGGAGGTCATCTAGTCCAACCCCCGCTCAAGGAGCAGATTCAGCAAACGTGGCCACTTGTGGGCTTCAACTCCCACAATTCCCCAGCCAGCTCTTGTGACCGCCGGAGTCCAAGAGGCTGGAGAAATGGCTGCCCAGCCTCTTCTTCAAAAACGATGGGAGGAAGGAACGACTTCTGGTGGCAAGCAGTTCCCCTGGTTAATTGTTCCCACAGTCAGGAAATCCCTCCTGAATTCCAGGTGGCTCCTCTCCTTGATTAGTTTCCGTCCGTTGCTTCTCTTCCTGCCTTCGGGGTCTTTGGAGAATACTTCGCTTAGTGGCCATTACAACGGCAGCGGAAAAAGCAACTTGTGACCATTTTCCACGCTTACGACCGCTGCGGCATCCCCACGGACACGCGATCAAAATTCTTGATACTTGGGAAGCGACTCATACGTACGACAGTTGCAGTCTCCCCTTTTGTGACCTTCTGCCAAGCAAGGCCCATGGGGAAGGAACATCCCTGTCACTCAATTAACAACTGAAGTAAGCCATGCGGCAAGAATGGTCGTAAAGCGAGGCTAAATTCACTTAACAAACGTCTCGCTTAGCAAACAGGAATGTTGGTCTCAATTGTCGCCGTAAGTCAAGGATTACTTGTAATAGGATGCTGCTGCCCCCTATCTCCCTCTTCTGCCTCTCCCTGTGACCCCTCCCTCCCTTTCAGCCTCCCCCCCACCTCTCTGCCCCCCCAGGACCCCCTCAGCCCCTCAAGGCCGAGGCCAGGGCATCCCGGATCTCCAGTGCTTCGCCATCCTCCTCCTCCTCCCCTTCCTCCCCCGGCTGCTCCTCCCGCGGCGCCTCCGCGTCCTCCATCCAGCAGGCCTGGAAGGCGTCTCCGCGGGCCTCGCAGATGTTGTGCAGGGTGCAGCAGGCCGCGATGAGGGTGGGCAAGAAGGAGACGTCGGTGTCGTTGCGCTTGGTCAAGCAGCGCCAGCGTCCGCGCAGGCGCCCGAAGGCCACCGCCAGCACCGTCCGGGCAGCGTCGGCGTACTCATTGAAGCGTTGCTGGGAAGGGCTCAGAGCCGCTGCCCTGTAGGGTCGCATCAGCCAAGGCAGGAACGGGTACGAGCAGCCGCCCAGCAGATACACGGGCACCTGGACCCCACGGATGTCTCGGGAGCCCTCGGGAAACAGTTCGCCCTCCTGGGCTCGCTGGTAGAGCTCGGAGGCGCACAGCACTTGGGTGTCCGTCACCCGTCCGGGGCACCCAACGTTGATATCCCAGAAGCAGCCGCGGGAGTCGACGGCAGCCTGCACCACCACCGAGTGCCATCCGCGGCGGTTGTAGTAGCCGGCGGCGTTTTCGTTGGGGGCGCGGATGGGCACATGGAGGGAGCCCAGCACCCCGGCCAATTGAGGCAGGGGGAACCCGTTGCCGGCCGCCACCTGGGCCGGCTCAGGCGGGCGGACGTAGAGCGGGGTGAGGATGCCCACCACGGCTTCGCAGACGTCGCGCAGGATCTTGCAGACGGTGGAGCGGGAGACGCCGAACAGCTGCTCCACCGCCCGGTATTCGGTGCAGGCGCCCAGGCGCCAGAGAGTCATGGCCAGGCGGACGTCGGCCGGGATGGCCCGGCGCATGTTGGTGTCCCGGCGTTGGATGGCGTTGCGCAGGTGGGCGCAAAGGTAGTCAAAGGTGCCGGGCGACACCCGGAAGTTCTCGCCCCACTCCCAGGCGCTGAAGGCCTTGACGCGCACGATCTCCCAGAAGGCCGAGCTGCGGAATTTGCTCCACAGGCGCCGTTCCCGCAGCAGGCGGGGCAGGGCGCTCCCGCTATGCCGACCCCCAACACCCCGGGGACTCGGGCCGTGCGGGCCGTGCTCCCGGGCCAGCAGGCGGCAGAGCCACAGCAGGGCGAAGCGTTGGCGGGAGCGTGCCTGGGCCCGTCGGTGGCGCGCTGCCCGTCGACGGCGGTCCGCCTCGCAGAGACGACGGCTCCGCTGCAGCCGCAGGGCGTGGAGCAGGCAGAGGGCCACGGTGCCACGGCTAAGTGCGGGCAGCAGCCGGTGGTCCTGGTCCCCGTGGCCTGAGGCGGCCGTGGGACAAGATGGCTCCTGTGGAATGGCGGCCATTTTGCCCCCTCGAGCACGTGGGGAGGCCGCGCGCATGCGCGGCGGACCGGCGGGGGGAACTAAAGAGCCTCGCGCAGGCGCCTCAACCCAGTCGCTGAAATGCGCATGCGCTAGAGGACGGCGGCTTTGCGGGCCACCGCCTCCGCCGCGCACGCGCAGACGGGCCGGCTCCCGTCCGGCCTCCTGGGAGCGGAAGTGTGGGCCGCATGAAGCCCCGCCTCCTCCCTCCCCGACATGGCGGCGTTGAAGGTCGCCCTGGTGCCCTACATTCTCCCCGAGTACTGCTACGATGAGCTCGTCGTCAACCTCAACCTCCTGCACGGTGAGCCGGGCCCGCCCGCCGTAGCGGGTGGGTGGGGGTGGGGGGTTGCGCGGGGAGCCGTCGCCGTGGCAACAGGGTTACGTGGGCGGAAGTGCCTGCCGTCCGTCGGCGGCCATCTTGGAGGAGGGCGGCAGCGAGGTTTTCCCACGGGCGCCATGTTGGAAGTGGGCGGAAGGAGCCCGCTGCCCTTTGAATGGCTTGAAGATCGGGGGGCGGAATGGGGGGTCCATGGGGGGGGGGGAGGAGGAAGGTCGTCGCCCCCTCCCACCGCAGGGCTTTGACAGGCAGCAGCCGCGATGGGAGCCTCCCAGGGACCCCCCCTGGCCCTGGGGGCCTCCCGGGTGGTCGTGGGGGCGCTGGTGGGACCCCCTCCTCTCTTCTTCCTCCCCCGCAGTGCCCTGCCTGAAGGTCTTCCTCAGCAAAGCCCTCGGATTCGGCGTGGTGGCCGGTTCCCTCGTGGGTAAGAGACCACCCCCCATAAGCCCCTCCCCCCACAATCCCCATAAGCCCCTCCCCCACTATCCCCATAAGCCCCTCCCC